TTGCTTCTGGGTAGGATCCATAAGCTGTTTATCTCTCTTAGATTAGAATAATCAGAGCTCTTCATTTAATGGGCCTCACCATGAGGATTAATTGAGCCAAATGTGGCATTTTCAAGAAAATATTTGGATGGTGGTCAAAAGTTGTATTTGAAAAAATTGTGATGAGTCAGGTGGTTTAAGAAGATATGATCACAATAATTTTTGAGGTGCGTCCTCTCTTATAAGAGATCAATCAGCCCACTTGATGGGTCTATACGCCACGGAATAAGTGAAAGGATACCTAGAACTATATAAAGGACTTAACAGGGGTGGTAATGTTATTCGAAAATCCGATTTTAAATTTAGAGATTTGAAATAATCGAATCAAATTCGAATAATTTAAATATCTAATTGATCGAATTCAGATATCCTATTTATATTGAATAGGTAATCGGATTCGAATTTGGATATAACCTGATTTGATTCAATAAATATACAAAATAATTTATATATAAAATAATTAAATCATATAAATAATCTATATATTTATATACCTTATATAAATAAAATGTTTATTTTATATATTTATTAATTACCTAAAATAATTAATTGGTCAAATTCGATTCAAATTGAATATTCGAATATTTAATCAAATTCGAATTCGAATATTAATATTCAATATCTGTCGGATATTGAGTCAAATTCGAAAATCATATTCAAATTCGAATATTGCCTGATTTGATTCAAATTTGATCCATTTACACCCCTAGGCTTAAGTGGGCCCTGAAGGTTATTTTAAATTTTAAATTGGCGGTCTCCTGTTACCATACTAGAGGTTATCAATCCTAATCTTTTGGCCCAACTCACAAGTTTTTGGGCTTCATCTTAAGTTTTACATTTAGACCTAGCTCAATTTCGCTCTAGCTATCCAAGGATTCAACTGTTCAACACAATGCCAATCTGACCTATCATCATTTGTTATATTCAGGTTAGGCCGAAGCCAAAACAACTCTTTTCCAACAAAAAACTTGGACCAAGTTAGAGAGAGAATTGGAATCAACTAGAATGATATTTCATTCCCAAAGGAAAGAGTGGGAATGGCCATTTCATCAGGAATGGTCCATTCTGCCCAACCAAACAGTTGAAATCGAAATGGGCCATTCTAACTATGATTCTAGACCCCTATTCCCGTGAACTAAATGGAGCCAAAATGGGATAGCATGGCATGTGCAGGAAGTTTCTTTTTGCCTTTTCCAAATATTCCAAACCAAGGTTCAAAGTATCGATACTGGCTGATACACTGGTGTATTGGCCCTTCTTTTTTAAGTTCCACTTTTTTTTTTCCGATTTTGGTTCAGAGGGGCTGGTTTAAGTCCTGGCTACCCTCTAAAACAGGCCCTGACTTGATACAACCACTGTAGGGGCATATCGAGAAGGGCCCAATATGATACGTATCGGCCAATACAGGCCGATAAGTAACGATTTTTTGAACCTTATTCCAAACAAGAAAATATTTTTCCCCACTAACAAAACAAAGTCAAACTGAAACTAGAATATACACCCTGCTCAACTACATAAACTCGGGTTTGTTCGTGGTTATGTCTCTTCAACCTGTATTATATTTGGATAAGAGTTTTATTAATTGTTAAGGCTGCGTTTGGAATAATTGTAAATAAAAAATGATGTAAACATTTACATTGGTTCAGTTTTGTCCACCTTGGAAAATAGTGTGTAATAATAATCGACGTAAAACTTCACTCCGGTTCAGTTTCGCATGCATATAGATAGAGTGGAATTTTACGTCATGAATCGATGTAAAACCTCATCATATCTTAAATTTTATATCAATTATCAATGTAAATACTACATCAATAAAATCGATATAAAACTTTACACTGATTGTATCACATTTAAAAAAAATACAACAATTACCTTAATAAGGGTTCAATGTAAAATAATATCATATACTTTTACATTGATAATGTTTTACACCGATTCAAAACGCAGCCTAAGTGGTCAATTGATCAGGGGGTGTTCTTTTGTTTGTTCGTTCAATGTCAAAGAATATACTCAGAACTCAGAAGATCAAATCAAATCGTCAACATTAGCAAGCTAATCGTGTTGATCTCATATTCCCATTGGAACCCATTAATGAAGCGTAAAGGCACTGAGTTCCTGTGAAGCAAACAGTAATTAGAGCCGTATCATTGACGAGAACTCCCAGTGACGAGCGGCGAGTTTAACGTGTTGCTCAAAGAAAACGCCTTTAGACGGTTTCATAGGCCAAGTTGAAGCATATGTATCGAGCCAACAGGAAGGAAGGAGATTAAGTCAAGGAAGGAAATCATCAGAATTGTGTCACAGTGAGGAATGAATCATGAATCCATGGAAGAGGTTGCCCGAGGAGCTTCGGTTGATGATCTTCAGAGGTCTAGACAAAAAAGAATTGTTCTTTCAGCTGGGAGATCTTGTGTAGATTGAAATTAATTGCTGAAACCTTTTTATCATACACTACAAGCTCGCCCAAGCTAGGGATGGCCGCAATTTTTCCCATCTATGGGGACTCGACTTATCCGACCCCATCAAGTTGGTGATGGGGATTGTTTTGGTGGGGTGGGGTCGGGGACAAGGATTAATAGAAACTCCTGAAAGTGGATTTTGATTTATGTGGGGTCGGGGACAAGTTGGTGAGGTGGGGTTGGGGATGGCAATTGAGGTCCTCACCCCGATCCGAGTCCGATTATATATATTTAAATGTTATTTATTTTAAATATATATTATTTATATTATATATATATATATATCTCAAAACATTATTTATAATTTAATTTTTTATTTTAAGTAAATTTATTTTTTTAAATAATACTATTATCTAAAAAAAATTTGGAGTTTGGGTCCTCACAAGAAATCCATCTTCGTTAGGGATTGGGGATGGAGGACAAACTTTATCTCCAGTGGAGATCGATGACGGGAATGGAAGTTAATTTCAGAATCAGGGGTGGAGACGAAGAATATAATCCTCGCCCCACTGCAATGCCTAGCCCAAGCTAACAAAAAGCTTTGCCTGTAAAACACAAAAGAGATCTCACTATTTGCAAGGGTGTTCAGCAAGTGGAGAGAATTTTTATTTTGGGTATTTGATGCCATGCACCACTAATAATCCCCCTTTTTCCCAAATCGGTGGTTGCGAAAATCGATTCTACATCAATGTTGGAGTGAACCAATTAATACACCAATGATAGAAACGGCGAGTTATCTCCAATTCTCTGATGTGTTAATTGCAGTAACTTGAAAATATTGTGTCTATATAGAGATGCGACTTGCTATTAGGGATGGTAATGGGACTAGAGGATTTTGTGAATTTTAAATCCTATTTGTCTTCTTAGACCTCTCAACTTGTATCTTCTGTAGCCAAAATCTATAATAGATTGAATTTTCAGAATCCAAACCCTTTTCATACATAAAAATACAAAATCTTCTCTGATGCTATCCTCCACGCATTTCAGGATGGACATCTAATTCTATATTTTTTCTTAATAAACAAATGAAATAGAATGGACAACTGCTACAAATGTCAACCTCCATGCTGCCACATAATCATGTTGGAAGCATGTACTGCAAGTAATAGCCAAACAGCTTCCTGCATTGAATGTATTATGCCTCAAGGATTTCATTTTTTTTATACGAGCATGGTTTGAAGGTGATTTTATTTGATTAATTGCAGTCAACTTTTTACACTGAATCAGAGCTGTTGCCTGTTGGTCCCCCAACAAGCCTAGACAGAGAGATGAAGAAGATTATTCAAAGCAAATAAGTAAATAAATGGTCCATTTGCTTAGTCTTTTCAAAGCAAAGTAGTTGAATTAATCCAATCTTTGCTTAGATTTCTTAATCAACCCATGCCGAATTGCTGATTATGCTGAAAACTGTGCTACGTTTGGCACATGCCAAATGACTATTGGGTCGAACCTTGACATATTAAGAGATTGACCATTCTTCTTTTACCATCAACCATTTATAAAAACTGATTTGAATGTTGTGCTTTTAGTATTAAATCAAAGTTTGATACAAGTACTTTTCAGTTCATTTATCAAATCAGAATTCAATGTTTCAAATAGATACAAAACCATGTATATTTTTCCATACGAATCCAACCATTAACCAATCAAATTTGGATATCGGCCACATAAGCTCATCTGGACGTTTCTATCAATCTGTAATTCTGTATGTAGAAAATTCAATTCAAATTGAAGTTTTAAGCAGATGAGAAGAGGAAAAAGCCGTGGGTACCATCAGCTCAAATATTATAAAAAAAGGGAAATTGTCTAAAATTCATCACGAATTTTTAGCATTTCTTTTGAAATTCATTATAACTTTTTGAAACATTCATGGAACCCCACACTATCTGTTAGTGTTCATTGACAGAAGTTATCCACATCAGCATAAATATAATTTTTATGACCAAACTACCCCTGAATGGCATGCCAGCCATATTAAACATATTTTTATGTCAACCTAATTTTTATTCAATACATCTTTGTTCTAACTGACATAACGTTGGGTCCTATAGAGCCACATGTCCTCTCCTTGACTATAGATATTTTGTTGATGATCTCGGTTTTTGTTGCATTTGAAATTAAAAGGGATAAAGTGACAGTTGTACTGCACAAGTAGATATAAAACATCAGATGAGTTTGATTGGAATCAAAGTCGTTCTTTTTTAATTTAAAGCTCCCTTTTTACTTAAATGTGTTAAATGGGCAGAAAATTTTTTAAACAGAAATATTTTAAATATATTTTTATTATTTTTTTATCAAAGTTTTGCTTTATTTTTCATTTACAATAGTATAAAGAGTAAAATAATAATCTACCAACATCTGTTAGTCTATTTAGCATCAAACTGACATGGTTCTGTGGACGTTTTGAAAAATTATGATAAATTTAAGAAAAATGCTGAAAATTCATGATAAATTTTAAACAATTACCCTAAAAAAAAAAGTGGAAGTCAAAGAGAAGTTGAGACACCCCAAAGCATGAAAAGGCTTACAGCATATGCATATTACTAACGAGCCTCCAATACTCACACCTCCAAATCGAGAAGATGGCTCCGATAGAGAATCAGCTGCCCAAATCCTCGAGCGAGGAGGAGGAAGAGTACTGCTTGTTTGCCATGCAGCTGGCGAGCGCCTCAGTCATGCCCATGGTCCTCAGAGCTGCGGTGGAGCTCGATGTGCTGGATATCATGTCCAGAGCGGCACCAGGCGCCCAGCTCTCCCCCTCAGAGATCGCATCTCACATGCCCACCAAGAATCCAGATGCGCCCGTTATGCTTGATCGCATGCTGAGGCTTCTGGCGAGCTACTCGATTCTGACTTGCTCTGTCGTTGAACAGGAAGACGGTCGAGTTCAAAGGCTGTATGGGTTGGCCCCTGTCTGCAAATATTTTGTTCCAAACGAAGATGGAGCATCCTTGGCATCTATGATTCTTTTAAGTCAGGACAAGGTCTTCATGGAAACATGGTCAGTTGGTAACTCCTTTCTTCTTAGACTAGCTATGAGCTTTTCTTCCACCCCTCCAATTGGATTGAATTGGATATACCCAGATTTGAATTTGAATCATTAATATTTGGATTTCAATAATTAGATTTATATCGATTTAAATCGAATTCAGATTGCAATCAAAGATTGTATAGCATTAAAAAATTATGTGGTAACCAGTCAACCGGTATCATAATAAAAGTGGTAGCTAATCAGCTGGTATTTCGCTAAAATTCAGGTAGGTGACTTATATTTTGTTTGGTCAAAGTTCTTCCGGTAACTATACCTTTATGACATCATATAAAAAAAATCAAAATATTATATTATTAAAGGATATTATTTAAAATTCATCACGATGTATTGATGTTTCTATATTTCTCTTAAATTTATCATGACTTTTCAAAACCTATAAAGAAATTTCTGTATCACCATTAGTGATCATTAATAGAAGTTATACATAATTCCACATAATCATTAATTTGAGTATTTCATATAACCAAACTATCCTTGGAATGATCAGCCAACCTTATATGACAAAATTATTCTCGATTACCGTAAATCTGGTGTGGACCTGGATTGGGTTAGGGGTAATTTTATCATGAAAAATATTTAATGAGCTTGATTGGCAATAATGGAATAGTTTGATCATGTAAAATACTCAAATATTTATATGGACAATATCTGTTAACAATCACCAAAGGTAAATTAATGGAAATTTAACTGAAGGTAAGTTTTAGACGATAAAAATCACAGACAGAAAGCTCTCTTAAGGTTTTGAAAGGTCATGATGAGTCATGCATGTACGCAAGCTCTCTTGAGGTTTTGAAAGGTCATGATTAGTCATACATGTACGCATGTTCCTCAAATTTTAGAGTGGGCTCATTGATTAATTTGAACCTGGCTTGGTCCAAGACCAATCCGAGTGGATCAAATTTCAATCCAAACTGGGCTTGGGTTGGAAAAATTGAATTTGACCTCTGGTTAGATTCAATCTCGGGCCTTAAGCCCAAATCTTAAGATTGTATACCTGAATTGTCCATAAACCCGGCCCAGCCTGCCTGACTTGCATTCCTAAGACGATGAACTCCTCTTATCTATCTATTCATTGTAGCTTTGCCTCGTTTAATGTTGTATACACTGTATAGGTACCATTTAAAGGACGCTGTTCTTGAAGGAGGAATTCCATTTAACAAGGCCTATCGAGTCCGCTCGTTTGAGTACCATGGCATGGACCCAAGATTCAACCAGCTTTTCAATAGAGCAATGCTTGACCATACTCGCATAACCATGAAGAGTATTCTCCAGGCATACAAGGGATTTGAAGATGCGAAAGTGGTAGTTGATGTGGGTGGCGGGCTCGGAGTCACCATTAACATGATCACCTCCAAATACCCTAACATTAAGGGTATTAACTTTGATTTGCCTAAAGTCATTGAAGATGCACCATCCTATCCTGGTATGCTTTTCTTAAATGAAACTTAGGCTTATTTAATTGTTTACATTGAGAATTACATTAGTCAAGGGGTTTGAACCGCCGTTGATCTGGACGGTCGGACCGTTCGGCTTGAAGATCGTTTAGGTAATCAGTTTCGTTTTATTCCAAACCTGGTTCTTGGTCAAAAGCAATTGAATTAGTCAATGATCCATTGATTCGGGTGGTCGATCTATTCAATGGTTTTTGATCATTTTTTATTTTTAATTATTATTTTTTTTTAATTTTTGTTGTTAGAACGGGTCGTTCGTTTGAACCGTCATCCTAGAAACCGATGGCCATAATGGTTCCGTTTCCAAGTCATTTTTTTAAAATCATGCATGGGAGTGCAAATAGATAACAAATTAGAAATCCTACAAATAGGTTGGTAGGGCTGCAAACAGATTAAATTAAATTCACTAAGGCTGCGCTTCTAAACGATGCAAATAGAGTGTGAATGCAAATATGCAGAGCGTAAAATGGTTCATGCAAATATAAAGTTGGGTTAATTTTGCATTGACAAACTTACCTTCTTACCATATAGGCTTTTTAGCTGCAATGAACGCAAACATGAATTCCAATAAACTATATGCATTTTTTTATCAAAAGCCCAATTGAATGCAAATTTACTTCTTTTTTATTAAAGTACTTTTACATTTCATTATCGATATAAACATGCATTGAAAAATGTGTTTTCTGTCATTTATCAATACATAAATGCATAATTGCAAAGTACAGATAAAACTGAACCAATCAAAGTGTAAATTTACCCTGAACCGGAATTTACATTCATTTACATCGTTTCCAAATGTAGCCTAAAGGGTATATATGATTCAATTCAATAAGAATCAGTCAAACCTTTATGATTATAATTTGAATTCGAATTTGATTATATTTTCAAATATCAGATTTAATTTATTTGGATTGTAGTAAAAAAACTTGATTTTATAATATAAATATTTATAATATTTCATAATTAATGAATCAGATTAGATCTTATCAAATCAAGTTGGGGGTATATCTAAATTTGACTTGATAGCATAACTTATCTGATTTTTTTATTTGATTCGTTAGGATCAAAGGTGATATTCAAAACCAGATTGAATTTGGATTCAAATCGGGTATTTGCAGCCCTAAATTGAGGTGAAAGTGATGTAAAATTTGTATAAGATAGATGCAAAACTGAACCAGATACAAAAATTTATATCTGATCCGGATTAGCACAGCAAACAAACAGAGCCTTGGAGTTCAATTTTTGATGGTTTAATGATAATGACTTTAATCTATTTTATATTGATCAGGAGTGGAGCATGTAGGGGGTGATATGTTTGCCTGTGTTCCAAAAGCAGATCTGATCGTCATGAAGGTGATTAATTAATTTGGATTTAACTTATCTTTTATACATGGATCAAGAGCTTATCTGTTGAGGTTTTGAGTGAGTGACCGTGGTTACCTTTTCTCCTGAAAAATACCTGTAGTGGATACTTCATGACTGGAGCGATGATCACTGCCTCAAGTTATTAAAGAACTGCTACGAAGCATTACCGGAGAACGGAAAAGTGGTCGTAGTAGAGGGGATTCTTCCGGTTGCCGCAGAGGCCAGCTTGGCCGCCCAGAGCCTCTATCAAATAGATGTAATCATGATGAACCAACACGTGGGTGGAAAGGAAAGGACAGACAAGGAGTACGAGGCCTTGGCAAAGCGAGCTGGATTCACTGGTATCAGACTGGTCTGCTGTGTTTACAGTAATTGGGTGATTGAATTCCACAAAGGCGATTGACCATTTTGATGATTATGGTTTTAGATTTTAGGCTTATGATAAAATTGATGAATATATATACATATACCTTCAATTTATTTAGCTGGGGACACCTTTGTTATGACTTATGATTAAATAAAGCGGATGATTTTCAGCAATATTATCACTTGGGAGCTGGGGACACCTTTTGCTTTTCTTGCTATTTGAGCTTCATCGACTGTCTTATGAGCATTTAATTTATGAATGAATTTCACATTTTAAGACTTAGAAAAATGTTGGAAAGTGTTAATATGATATCTAATTTTTTTAAACATCTATTTTACCCTCTTATGACACCTCAATATAGGATAAATTATTGAAACCTCCCCTAAAGTTTGCTAACTGTAACCACCTCTTCTAAACTTTTTGACATGGTTGCAAGTAGATTCTCTTTCTTAGAATTCTTTAACAAGAAGGACAAAATGTCTTAAATATCCATGCAATTACAATTGAGGTTGGTTTTATGAAAAAAAAATAATACAAACTTTATGAACAACAAAAAAAAAGAGAGAGAGTTTAAAGTTGTAGCTTTACCTTTGAGTGATTGATATGAAGGACAAGTTAAAAAAAAAAAAAAAAACCAATTTCAAAAAGGAGATTGGAAGGGTTTAGGGTAGTGATTCATGTGAAGAGAAAATTTGAAAAATAAACATTTTGATCAAAAGTAACTACACATTTTCATGCCTCTTTTTAGAAGATTCTAAGAGAGGGGTCTACTTGATAGGGGTGAGCATAATTCAGTTAAAACCAAAATTTTGGTTTCGGTTTAATCGATTTGGTCTAACCGGTTTTTCGATCGATTTTGGTTTTATAATTTGGTTATTTTGTGTTTCGATTATCATAGTTGATAAATCAATTAACCGAAAAAAAAAACCAATTTAATTTTATAACTATGTATTTTTAATATTATTTATATTATAATTTATAATTTTATATTAATATTTAATATATTATGCAATATACATTATTACTTCATTTAATGCCAAATTTCCCAAAAAAGTAAAACTCAAAAGAGTGAAAAGACAAGCAAACTATTGGGCATTAGCTGGCATGGAGTCTAAGCATCTTCCTTCCTCAATCGTCTCTCTCTCTGATTATGTCTCTCAGACTCTCTTAGTCTCTCTAATTTCTCTCTAAAGACTATAATCTCTCTGTATTTAGAAAGAATAGGATGGCCACTGGCCTGCTGAGTGAGGGGCTGATCAGCTGAGGGTGTCTTCCCTATCCTGTTGAGTGACTACCGACCACCGAGTGTTGCGGCTGCCTGCTGCCGCTGTATCTGCTTTGCCTCTGCCAGTTGTCGTTGCCGGCTGTTGCTGAGGGCTTCTTCTTCTTCTTAGAAGGCTCGACTTAATTTCGGTTTTAATCGAAATATACGAAATAACAAAATAAAAAATTGGTTCAATTTAATCGGTTTTTACATATCTCGATCTCGGTTGGATTTGCCATCTTGTTAAATCGGTTTTTAACCGAAAAAACCGAATGCTCTCCTTGCAGGTGTATTTGAAAGTTCAAAGGAGGACAAGAATGCATTATTTATATTTTCGAAGGGTTAAAGTTTTTCTTTCATATTATTAAGGTGGGAAAGAAATATTGAAATAGGTTAAAAATAAAATAAAATAAAAATTTGAGATAAAAAGATATAGATAAAGTTACTTTTGTTAATTTCAAAAATATTTACTTCACGGGTAAAACTGATATTTTAGTATCGATAACATTTTGGTAAAATACTTGTTCCATTTTTGTAAAACATCTCCGAGTCCTAACAGGATGCAGCAGGCGGTTATCACCTGTACGCCACGTGTCGTGTTTCCTTTTAATTGGTTGAAGATCATGAAATACACTCTCCCGCCAAAACTGAATATTCACTTCATCTTACCCTGTATATATACACCATCATCTCCACACAACCCTCTAAGTTTCTTTTTTTCTCTGGTACTGCAACTACGAAGTCACCATGAGAGGACCGATGACGACCTCAATTGCTAACAAGAAGCCGGATGCAGAGTAAGATCTGTGTATTCATCGTTTGTCAATTTGTCTATTTTTCTTCTTTATTTTGTTAACCTGATTTGTGTTGTTTATCGTTTGTCACGTTTGTCTTTCGCAGAATGCTGAACCTAAAGAATCGGAAAACTAGCGGGAATGCTACTGTGAAGAAAGAAAAGTCCAGCAAGAAAGACACCGGTGCTCCGAAGAGACCGGCCGGAGCGTTCTTCATATTCATGTTACTTCTTTTAAATTCCTAATTTTCTTTTAACAACGGTAGATCTATCAGAACTGGTCGCATTTGCAATGTTTACGCTGATTTTCCCTCTGGCGTGTTAATGACAGGGAAGAATTCAGGAAGGCATATAAAGAGAACTTTCCTGATAACAAATCAATTTCCGCTGTAAAGATCGAACTCTGATCACTGATCCATATACTTATGTATATGATTACTCTCTTTCTGCTTTTTCTCCCCGTTTTGTTTTATGAAATTATTTTTCTTACATCTTCGATTTTCAGGTTGGAAAAGCCGGTGGTGAAAAGTGGAAATCGATGTCTGATTCTGTAAGACCTCTCATGAGCAACAATGTTTCAGAAAAAATAATACGACATTAATAGTCAAAGTCTCGGAGTTATAAGCATTTTGTATTAAGTCTTTCATCATATTCGTGTTTTTTTACCGATTATTTGAATTTATTAGAATAACAAGCTGGTAACCTTGTGCCATTACGTGTTTCACCTTTCCGACGCCTCTGATACATGCTATTTCTCATTTTCAGGAGAAGGCTCCTTACGTTGAGAAAGCTGCTAAGAGAAAGGCCGATTACGGGAAAGCGATGGAAGAATTTAAAAATAAACTCGTAATTTTTTTTTTCCTTTTCCCTTTCTCCTTTGGTGTTTATGCTCTTTTTGTCCCTTATATTTTCTCTGATTTTTCTAACATGTTAGAAAGGAATTGATGTAAAGGATGACGAATCGGATAAATCTACTTCTGAGGTACACGACGATGAGTAACCGCCTAACCGGGTAGGTTATGTAGGCAATAGTCATGTTGTTCTTGATATGGTGGATAAACCGTTCATCAGGTTACATTGTGATAGATTAATCATAGCCGTTCACTCGTTATACTTATTGCTGCAACGTTGCATATTACTTTCGATCAGAGGTTTTCGAGCCTGATCATTTATTACACTGATATTCCAAAAAAGAGAAGATAATTTATTACAGTAAAACACTGAAATTAGAAGCTCTTAATGTATTAATGTCTTGAAACAGAGGAAGCTTTAAGATTGTAATGGCCATGATCAAACGGTTTAAATATTAGTCTCTCATGCACTAATATTATTGTTTGTTTAACTTTGCAGGTTTGCTACTTTGCAGGTAGCTGTGGATAAACGTGGTAGTGGAACGAACTAAACGAAGATATACGGCGTAGAACTAAACGAAGATAAGACGGTGGGCATAGTCTAGTTGCAGTTTTCCTAATATTTTTTGTGTACTGACACATAGTCATAATGGATCTTCTTTCCCGGAAGATTGTTTTGTAAACTTTTTCACACGAAAACAAGCTAAGACACTATATGTTAGTATGTTGCTTTGCTCAAATATTCTGCGACCCCGGACAGTAGGACACGCCAGCTGATCTGTGTTTTTCCCCTATCAGTGGCCTGTCCATATTTAACCGGTGTCGCAAGGGAGTCTGGATCTGCAGGTAGTTGCGAGAAGAGAGCAAGAAAAAAATTGCAGCAGATTCGTACTCGATCATGACTAGGATCTGCTAGTAACAAATAATACCAGTTACTTACCAGGCACATCACACTTTTGCACTGCTTATCCTCAACAGTCAACACTAATCAATTCATACCAAGAAATCAAAGTGGGTATACAGCATCATAATCCGCTCGGAAGAAACCCAGATAAGGGTGATTACAACCGGTAGTTGAGAAACCTAGATCTGCGAAACTTGGAGCCGCTTTGGCACTTCGTGAGCAAAATGATTGGTTGACCTCCTAGTAAACGATGTCCTGATCTGAGAGAAGTTGGAATACAGACGGTCCACCTTTGTCAATGCAAGATGGCTAGCTTTCATCTCTTCGGAGACATCCGATAAAATAGATGGCTAGCCTTCATGGCGCCCAGTCGTCTCATAGCTAGAGCTTTGGCCATTTTCACAGCGTTAGGATCTGCTAGCCACACCCACCCACATGGCATTGCAGCCGCACATGGAGAATATCTCTACTATTTATATGTTGTAACTAGCCTATGTTGGTAGAGTTTTGGAATGTATTTTGTTGACAGGTGATCCGGACGCATGTTGGAAACAGAACCGGAGTTGTTTTGACAGTATTGCAGTTTACTCTTTGGCATCTAGTTAGATCAGGTCCCATCCGTGTGCATATATGTTGCCCATGTGTTGGCATAAAACCTATAATGCGCCTAAAAGCTGTTCATTTCTGGCATGAAATCTGCTGCAAACATTGGTTATATATGTATCCAACCGCAGTGAAGAGTACTGAAGACGCGCGAGTATTTCATATTCATGAGCCCGCAGAACACTCACGCGTTCATTTGTGATTCCACTTTGTCTGCTGATTGCTGGGCGAAGAACGTCAACCTGTTTAATTACCTGTGTTCCTCGTTTTACAATTGTTACCACGGGTTCTCTTTGTGAAAGTTTTTTTCTGTACGTGTAAAATAGTTAATAGAAAGTTCGTACTTCGTCGATGATGTGACTACGCTTTAGGGGGTTTTATTTGTTTGGATTTTGCAGGGGGAAAGTTGGTCAATGGGATTTTGTTTTTTATTGACTAAGAATGGGCATAGAGTTTATTATACCCATCTCCTAGGGATAAATAACTTTGAGAGAACTTTTTCAACACTTGAATGAGACAAAAATGGCCCTTTTAATGATGAATTTTTATGTTTAAAATGGTCATTTTCTGTTTTTACTTGAAAAATAAAAGAACTTTGACTAATGTATTTACCTGGGTAAGTGTTTTCTAGGAAAAACTTACATAGATAATTGCATTTACCAGAATAAGTAACTTACCGAAAATTGAATGGGGCCTGCAGATTAAAGTCAGCAGTCAGCACAAATTACATTAATGATAAATCAGATATATAAAAACCTCCCGAGGTTTCATCTTCACAAAAACCTCTTTGTAGCCTGCAGTTACCTCCTTTTATTATCTTAGACGTAAAATATTGGTCAAATGCATTAGTTTTTCAAAAGTACCCATGTTACCCTTAAATCTATCAATTCAGATGATGAAAATTTATTAAAATATCCTTAAATGAATTTTTCACTTTTAACTATAATAAATTCCCCAAATTAGGTTGTAAAGAATAAAGTAATTTCACTATATAAAAATGTTAGGTCTAGTGAAGTCTAGAAGTGCAAATCTTTCATTTTGAACTATATTGAAAGATACCTAATAATAATAATAATAATAATAATAATAATCTATATCTATATCTATATCTAAATCTAAATCTATACTATTATTAAAAGTGGGAATAAAGTTTAAGTTTTTACTAAAATGCCCTTATATTTTTAAATTAATCTCTTTTTGTTGTAGAGGCAAAAATGTAATTTGAATTACTAATTTTAAGTTCATTTTATTTCCCCTCATTAAGTCCTATGTCTAAGATATTAACTCCCAATCCCTTTCATTAAATTGTTTGTTTAAGATGTATTAAATAAATGAGCTTTATTGATTTTTTTCTATTAATTAAATCCAAATTCAATAATTTTAACAATACGAAATCTATGTATTTAAAATCAATTGTGAGTAAGTTGTTGAGTCATCTGGTCAAATGGGTCAACCGATTTATCCATAGCGTTTGTATATCTGTTGCATTTATCCATTGGAAATTGGGAAAGAAAACGTTGTAAACATAAAGTGCAATGCAACAGCTGTTTATTTTGTTTTATTATACATAAAAGCCATTAGCTGCCACATAAGTGAAATGGGCTCTCCACAAAGCATGCCCCACAGTCCATTCTCACATGCATTGGGAACATCTTTCACGTAAATTTAAAATAAATAAAATATAAAAATTACAAAAAAAATACAAAAGAGTTTGTGAAAATTTTAGAATTAAATTATCAAAAAAAAACAACAATTGAATTAACCACAATTAAGATGACGTTTGGTACCACGGTGTTATATATCTGTTGCACTTATCCCTTCGAAATTGAGAAAAACATTGTGGGCATGAAAGTATAAACTGTTTTTTCAATTTCATTATACATAATTGCCACTATGTTACGGTCCGACATAGGCTTAGCCTTGTTTATGTTTGGCGGACTTACATTAAGGGACATCATCGTTATTTTTGCCTATAAGATTTTTGGGAGAATTGATGTTATCTTCAGACAGACCACCAAAAGCTTAACGTACTCTTTGAAGAGGGTGGTCAACCTCCTTGGGTGCCTAACCTTGGCACTCCTAGACCATCATCCCTTGCGGGGCGGCCCTGGTTAATGGCTAGATTGGCTACCAGGGTTCCTCATGGGCACACACATGCTCATGGGGACAATGCATGGACCGACACTGCGCTACCGACACTCAAAGGAGGCTTGGCATGCGGACCTGGCTCAAGCATGACCCTTCACCACGCCAGCCCCTTGCCCAAGCTGATTGAGCTATCTCGTTGCCCATAGCGCACGGGTGTGTTCCGGCCCAAGCGGTTACCTATCATCATGGCACACAGGTGCCTACATCATCGGCATACAGGAGTCCCTTCTCAACGACACCAAGTTGCCTCTCATCATGGCATTCCCCCTTTAGCACGTAAGCGGTGCCTCCCATGGACCGGTCAAAGCCAGCCGAGTGCCCCAGCCATGCGACTTAAGGTTATGATCCAGTGCTACTGACCTTGGTCGAGCCATCACATCGGGCAACTCATAGCCTCCAAGCATATAAAGGCTTGTCTTGGCCTACCTTGGCCTGGACGCCGAACGGGTTTCTTCCGCTGCAGAACTTCCCCCGTGACAGTTAGTATCAGAGCGAGCTAGCCAATTGCTGTTGCAGTTGTCTAAGCAGATTAGCACAGAACTAGTTGAAGCGGTCATCTCGACAAGAAACACATCATGGGGTGCGGTCCCTAGGCACTTCCACTCGGGTTCAAGCAAGCAGTGCACATCAGGCCTGGCAAGAGGCCATTCACTCGTGTCCCCATTCCAATGACCCAAAAAACAGCACCCTTGTGGAGGCAGACACATTGGTTGTTGTGCTCATGCGGGGGCAGAGACGCGTGAGCTTTTTCGTGGAAGGCATATTGTGGTGGTTTGAGTGGGGGAGTGCCATACTTCCTCACGGACATCAGTTGCTATTCATTTTGGTGAGGTGTTGGGCGGTGCGCCTACATCTTGGTTTCATGATGGATAAGCCATTGTTTCGTAGCTTTGTTTGAGACACTACTAAGGCGGGGACAGCAGTCCGAAATTGGTTGGTGTCGACGGTTGGTCAAGGAATATCACTGAAGTGGAAGTTTTGCACAGAACGGGTCCTTGGTTGAAGCCACAATATTGGAATGATAGGAATGTGGGTACACTAGTCATTGGTGCATGGCGGCCCTACACCGGCAATGCATCGGAGGACATGCTCAGTTCATCAACAGGCAGGACACTTGTAGCAACAACAACACATCACAAGGCGAGTGCATGTTCGACAACATCATGAGTAAAAGTTGCCACCACTCGCACACATTGCGGTCAGATCTCCATGAGGCAGCAGCACATTGGGGCCCCCTCGGAGCGAAGAGGTAGCCCAAACCGGCATGGTGAAGTGTAGTTTCGAGGGCCAAGAGAGCATAAGCCATGGACTAGGTTTGAGTAACCCGCACACAACGAGGTGAAGTCTGCAAACCAGCATGGTGAAAGGGTATCCAAGCCACATCGACAACAACAGGAGTAGACCTATCTCATCGTGTTCGGTAGCACCACCAAAAAGCTACCAAGAAGACGGTCGAACCTTGAGGTAAAGATGATACATGGGGCGGACCTCCGCGAAGCATCACATCCAATTTCTTTGAGGGCCCTTCTTTCACATTTCAACGGCATAGCCATTACGCAGTTTGAGTAATCTCAACACAGGGGGTGAAGTCCAGCAGGCCGACATGGTGAAATGGTTACGTCCCCATAAATGGACACCAATATAGGCGAGACCCAGATTGGCCAGGCGAACCCTGGAACTGGCACAGAAGTGGATGGTGCAGGACACAGACGCTCATTCACAAGAAGAGCCATTGTCGAGGACGACAATGGATTGAGTGGGGGAGCCTATTACAGTCTAACACAGGCTTAGCCTTGCTTACGCTTGGCGGGCTTACGTTAAGGGACATCACTGTTATTTTCGCCTATAAGATTTTTGGAAGAATTGATGTTATCTTCAGGCAGACCACCAAAAGCT